GGTCTCTTAGAGACATGAGGTTCTTTTACGTGCCGTAAATCTACGACACGGGACACACGGCTTAAAGTCCCTCCCGGAGGACTTGTTCCCTGAATTTTTCCGCCCTTAAAAATTCCACGACCTCCGCCGGGTTTTTGAACCCATGTACCTTGAGTCATGAGGTGGGAACGTTACCCCTAGACTACGGAGGCCGCTTGTTATACAGTATAACTTTCTGTTTCAGATTGTTATCCTGTTTGGCTCATTGGTCCTCACTATTCTCTGAGGTGAAATTCCTGCCTCTATTTGTGTTTCCCTTTGTGAAAGTTTTCCAGAATGATCCATTTGTGTGTTTTGAAGCTGTTACCACAATCATATGTAAGTATTATAATTGCACATAATTGGACCACAGCCTTCATTACTCTTTCATCATCTATTCTATCATATACAATGGTATATAAAATATAAGATTATATGTAGTTAAATGAAGTGTATATGTCATAAAGTGAAAACAATTTGAAGGAAATGGTTCCTACTGAATGCAGGTCAGACTTGTTGCCAGTCCAGCCTGTTCACATAGACATACATTTTGGTATGTGTGGTCATAGTACTGATAAGGTTAAATTTGTAAAGGCACCTCATATGATGTCCAAGTGGTGTTTCTCCATCGCTGTTTCCTTAATTAGTGATTAGAGACTTTGTGGTGTGGTCCATGCTGGTGACTCTCAATTCTCACTGGTATTTAACAGCCAGGGACACTGAGATTTTGCCAGTGATGGAAATAAAGGATAGATTATCCTGGAGTGTAAGTACATTTAGAAGACTGCAAAAGTATACAGTGCACGCTCAACAGTCGTATTTGGCAGTAGGAATTACAATTGAAATAGTTAAAGATTATGGTGAACTCTTCCTTATAAAGCCAATATTAAATTCACATAGTCTCTTCACTATACAATTCTCAATTGCAATTCAGAAGCTAAATAGTATTCATGTATGCCAGATGATGACCCAGGTAAAAGGGTCGAAACATGTAGCAATACCACCAGCAACAAATAAAAACAAATGTTGACACAGTAATGTCTATTTTGTTTCTCTTTGATTATTTGTTGTGTGACTGTCCAAAATTATGTATCTTTTCATTATTATTTATTGTTATTACATACACTGAACAAAAACTAAATGTATATAAATTGTTTTAATATATGCTTCATATTTGTATTACAATAGAACATTGCATCAAAAGAATGAAACAGATCTTATTTTCATACAGTCTAACAGAGGCGCCCTCCAGCAGTGACTGATGAATATGAAAATTAAAACTATGTGCTCATAATGTGACTTTTATTTAAGTAGCCTGAGAACTGTAAGACTAGCAGAGAAAGTATATTGGATGTAAAGTGTGTCATTTTTGCATGCACCTTTTTGCTTGAAATATTTTTGTCTGATAAATATTTAACAAAATGCATGCTGAAATTAATGTAATGTCATTAAACATCTCCAAATGAAATGAGAATTGAAATGGAGAATTTTTCATAAAATTCTGCAATGTCATATTTCATGAAAATTCATCCTATGATTCTTCACTTATTCCATATGTGCAAATTGACTGAGCAGACTTAATAGGCACTCTGCAAGGTTGTGAACATGCTTAAAAATTAAAAATAATGGGCTTCAGTGGCCATTTGATGAGAACATATTTCATTTCATTTATTCCTGGTTTCTCACTTCAGTGAACTGGTGTCAGTATTGGTTTGAGTACTTCCCTTTTCCACCGATAAATGTGTTGTCGATGATTGAGAATGTTCTTGCTGAACACGATTCAGAACTTCTGGAATTTTACTATGGAGCCAGGGTTAAAACAGATCTGTATGCATGGACTCTGCTTGAGGTGGCATTTTCAGAGGTATGTAACCTGAAATCATACAGTATGGTTATTAAATTTCTGATAAGTAATGACCCATCACCAAGTGTGTGGATATATAGTGATGTTTACATTCCTTTAAATTTAAATTTAATACAATTTAATGAGAACATTTTTCATTCCTTATCAACTGCTTATTTAATGGTAAAAAGTTGTGTTTTATGAAATTTAATTGACTGAACCTTCAATTTATGAAACAAAAACTGAGCCCTATCTTATATACTTGTAATTAACTTAATTCAAATGCATTACAGATATACCTAATAAAATAATTTTAAAAATCTGAGACTTGTTACACAAGCTGGAATGTCGCGGGTTCCATTCCCAAGGAGGTAATTGGATTTTTCAATTGACCTAATGCTTCCAGCCACACTATGGCTCTGCGGTTGACTCAGCCTCTAATAGAAGTGAGCATCCTTGGGGTAGAGGGTGGGTGGCGTATAAGGCTCACAATCTCACTTCCATCTGTGAGCTGATTGTCTAGAAAATGTTGGAGCATTGGCATTTCACAACCTTGTGGGCCTACAAGGCCTGTTGGGGATAGCTTTACCTTTTATTTATTATAAGTCCTGTCAACACAATTCATGTATAAATTGAATAAATTTATACTTTTACACTTTACTACATGTTTTGGCCGTTTATTCTTTTTTTTATTGTTGCTTTTTTCTATTATCTGTGTTTATTAAAACCACTACACTTAAAATCTACTCGGTTGGGATCTCGATGACCTATTCTCAGACCAGGGATCGTGATCCATGGTTAGAGAGTAGGTGTGTAGGTGTGCTGGGAACCAATGGAGTAACTTTTTTGTCGTGTCCTATTGATCTGAAGTGGGACCAGTTTCAAAAATAGAGTGATATTCTACCCTGAAGTTGGAGGCAGGAGGTTCGTCAGACAGTAATTTTCGCAGACAGTGCTGTGAGAACCTCAAATCTTAAACAGTGTCCATTCTTTCAAATATCAGGCCTAATTTGCTTGATGTGGACAGGACACGACAGTCTTTTAAGATATCTTCCAAAGCATCTTCTTCAATTTTGATGTTTTTCCCATTGTTACACAGTAGTGTAATTTGGGTTTGAGGTTTTTTCAGCAGTAACTATGAAGAATAGTATCCACTTGGATGTGATACCATGTAGAAATCTGTGATATTCCTGCACTATAAAAAGAAGGTAAGGTAAAGCTATCCCTGAAAGAGGCAATGAAGACCCATAGCGTTGTGAAATGTTGAGGCTCCCATATTTTCTCTAGACATTCGGCTCACAGATGGTGGTAAGGTTGTCAGCCTTACTCATCAGCCACCCTTAACCCCCCAGGAAGATTCCTGGTACTCATTTCTGTTAGAGGCTGAGTCGACCCCCAGGATCAAAATGCGGCTGGAAGGGTTAGGCAAATTGAAAAAATCCACCTTGTCAGGACTTGAACCCACTGCCTTCCAGCTTGTAGCATAGTGCCGCATGCCCCGATATTCCTGCAGCACATTCATAAACTCTTACCAGACTATACAGCATCACATCCCACAAAATAATACTGTTTTTATGTACAGGTGCTTGCAAAAAGTTGATGACATCTGATACACTGTTCCAGGTGCTGTGTAGGTCAGATTGGTTGTGTCTGTGGGACCATGTCTTATCCAATGAACCATCCTTTCTGTTAATGGCTGTTGTGGCATATAACATTATATATCGTAGAACAATCATGTCCTGTCGGGTACATGATGATTTTGAGGTGAGCTCTACCATGCACTGCTGATCATTAATAGTTCATGTCATATGTACTCTAAAGTACAAGTATATCAAACCGTGCAGACTTTCATAACTAGATTTTTTAGACTGAATAAAGATCCTCTGGGTTATTCATTAAAATTGTGGAATACCTATAATAACTAAAATTATCTCACCAGTTTTATTCTGATTTTAAGTGACAGAATGTCTTACTAATTTCCAGGTCACAAAGGCATAAATGGGCATTTTAATTCATGTGGAGAGTTCTGTGAACAATTTCTTCCCAGTTTAAGGACCAAGACTTAAAAGTGCTTAATTTTAATTGTAGTTATTAATTGTTTGTACATAGTAAATTATTCCCTTGTTTCAAAATGCACAGTGTAAATTAAATAACAATATTGTGACATGGATGGCGCAATGGGAAGTAGGGGTCACATGAACTCTGTGGTCTCACAAGTGACATCACATACGCCCACTCCTTCCATCAGTGCACAACGGTAGGTAAACACCCCCTCCCCCGCAGTGATGTAACAGAGGAGCAACTGTGTCAGACAACCATTGCCGCGGTGACGTAACAAGGAATACCGTGGTTACTACATAGCAGTAAACAACTCTTGACAGTGTTGATAGGCAACCTGTAAACGCAGCATCACGCAACAGCGGTACCTATCACGTAACTGTTTTCCATGTTTTCCATGCCGAGGCTAAATAAGGAGCAGCGAACACAATCAGTAGTGAGGATTGAGCCAGTTACAAGTGAGTGAGTTACTAGACAGAGAGTATCCTGTCGGTTTCAATCTAGCAGTCGCCGAGCCAGGTTGTATCGAGTGCATGGCAGGAGAAGTATTCGTGATACTGCCGATGGCAGTAATTGTGAGATTTTAAATTGTGTAATAGCAAATGTGCAATAAATTTGCTATATCCAATACAGCGTAAAGTTATTTGTCGTGTGACCTACCCAACATGTGACAATATCTTTGTGAAATTAAAGATTGTCACTGATGATTATTAAGATAACAGGATGTGACATTTTGTAGTTCAGTACCTGTCTTCAGAACTGCAAAGCATCATATCCCAGAAGATCATAAGTTTTCCAACTGTTTTGTTTAAGTGGATATTGTGCCTTTTACTACACTCCTTATCAGACTGTTTGGGCATGGTGGCCAATCTTCTGTGGTCCAGTGTTATTTACATTGTTTAACATCACAGTAGTGCTTGAGATTTATTTTCAATTGATTTAACTACTTTTTAATTTTATGGTATGAGGAAAGTCAGTTTTATATCAGATACGCTTTCACAAGAATAAAAGGGATTATTCAGGAATTATATTTACTTTTTTTCTCTCTCTTCTTTTAGTGGGGTGGGACTAAGTCTCTTGTACTGCGGCCACTTCTGGCCTATTGTATCAGCCCCAGATGATAGGTGAGCGTGATTGTGGAGCAATTGGTGGAATGAAGATTGGCAGGGGAAACTGAAGTACTCAGAGAAAACCTGCCCCAGCACCACTTTCTCCACCACAAATCCCACTTGACCAGACCTGGGATCGAACCCGGGCCGCCACGGTGAGAAGCCAGCGACTAACCTCTTGAGCTATGGCACAGCCATTTACTTCTTTTCTATATATTATGAACCGTTTAAATACAGAAGTGCGTAAGATTCATTGGCCATTCTGTTGCAGTATTTCTTTCACAATCAGAATCCAGTAGACATGAAGCGGTTTATATCAAAGACATACATGTTATGCAATAAGACCAGGAAGGAAGTTCATCCAAGACAGTACCTCTCAGCATTCAAACCTCTTGAGAAGAATTCATATCCAGTGTTTAATCAGTACCCAAAGTTTATAATTGATTACAAGGTGAGTATAAAGTGAGTGTGAAATTTACAAATTACTAAAGGTCTCTGCTCCCAGTTTTCTTCAACTCTCAAAAGAAAAAAGTATCTTAGAAGATCAAAACCAGCAGAGCAGTCCATCTATTTATTTATTAAATTAGCAATCCAGTTTCTTGTTAATGTCATTAAATTTTGTTATGATTTTTATCCCATATTTTTTAATTACATAATGTTACTTCCATTTTAATTTTTTAGCTGTAACAGTATTCTTTTTTTATATATGCTTGTTTTAGAGCCTAGCAGTACTATGAAAAGGGACTGAATCAACTCAGTTTTTGTTATGTGGCTCTACTGTTCTTATGGTTTATTAATTTTCAGTTGCTTGCTATCCAGGACAATTTTTGACATTAATACAGAGTTTGAACCGAATATGATTTTTATTCAGAACATTATTAGACTGATGACTTTAACTATTTTATAATCACTTGTCACAGAACGTTTAACTGGCAAGGGTCAGATTGCAACTGTATGTGTACAGATAGATCGGTTGTGTCACATTTTTGTGGGATTCTGAGTACAAAACATGGTTCTGAAAATGCTCTTCAAGTGACGTTAGTTGAGGCTAGGCGAATCAAATTATGATAGTTCGAATGTATGGAGTGACTTATATAATTATTATTTTCTTTCAGGCTCAGCAAATGGATCAGCTTCATAAAGAGGAGCAAAATATTTTGAAGGAATACCAGACAGCAATGAAGCAAAAAGCTGAACAGGAGAAAAGGATGCGTGAAGCAATACACACTGAAATACAAGAAGAACGCCTGAAAGGTCAGTTAAAGAATTCACTTAGATCATGAAATGAGATATGCAGGATGTGAGAAATATAATACTAAAGAAGGGGGGGGCTCCACACATTAAATATAAGTTTCTGCACTTTCCTTACATGCAGTTCACAGTATTAATAGAGTACAGTCAACTCTCGATTATCCGGGATAATCGTGGGGATGGAAATCACGATTAATCAAAAACCCGGTTAAGACAAATTTTATCAAAAGTAGTACTGTAATACTGTACCTTCATAATACTATAGGCCTACCTATATTTCAGTTTATTCAACCTCATTTTTATGTCATCTCATGGCCTATTTAATACTTTTTTTTACATTACACTGAAGTATGAATTAGTTATTTCAATCACAGTCTTCAACAACATCCAACACTTTTTACGAATATTCACACTTAACACTTAAAAAAATGTAATATTGTTGTTTACTTTTTCGCGGCATTTTCCTTTTTCTGTTGAATACTTAACACAACACGCTTCCTTTTACACATTTTGCTAACGCACTTGAAGATCGATACAAAGATACTAACTGGGGCGATGTATCTGTCCTTGAAACTTTCCACAAATCCTTGCATTCTTTCACCCCTACCCTAGAACATTGTGTTAGCATAACAGGACCAAAAAATGCAGAGCTTGGTTCACACTAGTGCGAAAATAGTGTTACAACTCGCCATGTGAAACAAAAGTGAATGAATATTAAACAACATATAAGCCTCAAAAAAGCCTCAGTAGCCCCGGTTAAGCCGCAAACCGGTTAATCTGCCCCTGGATAATTGAGAGTTGACTGTACTAGGGTTTTCTTCGTTCTGTTTCTATAACTTTAAGTCCTGCTGTGATAATTACCATCATCATTTACACACCTACATAACTAGATTCATTCGTTACAATATTTGAAAAATATTTTTATCCCATATGCAATTTTAATAGGACACTGTATAATCCAAGCTGTTGGAAGTATGATTAAATAAATTAGGAATAAATAAATAACATGTTCGTAAGCTCTTACTTCCTCATATCCTTAGAAATGGTAGTGTCATCTTATGTTTTTGAAAAATTTGGACAGAGAAGGCAAAAGCGTTGTGGACAAAATTTCAAGCCATGGTGTGGCTTTGACTTTCTACATTGATAATATTAGATACGCATGAAGAAAACTTTTCATGCAGCAGAAGTATAAGTATTTATTGTAGTAAAAGTTCATATTTGGCACATTTAAAGACCATATTATCTAGTTATAGGTCACAAACTTTAAATGGCAAACACTCATTACTACCTGAAGCATACATTAAAAACCTTTACTGCTGTGGTTATTTCTTATGACAAGCAGGAACTTTCTATTAAAATTTCTCTGGTACTTCCAGACTAGTACTCGTTGAATGCCAGTCTTCTGCACTACCATTTTGCTAACCAATCAGGTTTCTCACCCTCACCAAACATCATTGTAACATGTCACCGTTTCTTTTTCATATTTGGAAAGCCATCTGTTTTATCCTTGACACAGAGGCTAGTTGTCATCATTGAGATGATCTATGGTCTCTCCAGGAAAACGTTGGGGAAGTACCCGAAAACAGGTGGTAGCCGCTCCATTTCACATCTTTCCTAATTCATAATCCATAATGATCCTTCCACTTGATGGCCTAGAACTTAAGCACTTTGAACACCATCACTGATAATCCAAGAATGAATCATTGTGCCTTAATTTCCTAATAATGACAATGTATCATGTATTTAGGCATCTTTTCTTGCAGTAATGAAAGTACAATATTAATATTACTATCTTCCCAGAAGACTAGAATCTTAATATTTACTGCTGTGATAACCTAAACAGACAGCCTCTGTGGTCTAGTGGTCAGAGTTCCTGGCTACAGATCCAGAGGTCCCAGATTCGATTCCCAGCACTACCAAGGGAATAGCAGCTCTGGTCTAGGAAACCGAAATTAACAGCCGTGGGGATTCATTGCACTGACCATGTGACATGCTCCATCTGCTAAAGTTGGCACCAACTTCTCCGACAAGTGGCGGTCACTCAGTCGGTATAGTTCGCTTGCGGACTCAAGCCACAGAGTTTGTTTTTTGTTTATGTGATAACCTAAAATCTCTAAGCACAAATTGTTTTGATCTTCGTTTTGTTCCCCAGAACTTGAGCAAGTATACCAGGAGACACTTCGTAAAGAAAAAGAGCGATTGGCTGAACAGCAGCAGAAAGTACAGGCTGTCCGACAGACTTTGAGGGCCCGTGAACTGGAGCTGTTGAATGCTACCAGGGATAGACTGATGAGGCAGAATGTACGACAGAGACATGTGGCTCTCAATCAGCTGCTTGATGACATTGAACGGAAGGTATGACAGAGGGACCAGGAAGCATGGAAATTAATGGTGATGGTGGTGGGGGTGGGGGCGA